GGAGGAAGGACATAAAGCACTCAGCTTGGCTGGCATGCAGAGCTCAGGGGCATGATCTCAAAATCGCCTGTGACTAACCTGTAAGGCTGGGCAGCACTCCCTGAGTCCTCTAAACTTGCCTAACATGAGCTTCTTCATGCAGGGGTGGTCTGCCTGGTGGTGACCATCATGTACTGGTCTGGCTGGGAAATGGGTGCTGTGGAAGCCATTTCTCTGTCCATCCTCGTTGGCTCTTCTGTCGATTACTGCGTGCACTTGGTGGAGGGCTACCTGCTGGCAGGGGAAAACCTGCCGCTGCACCATGCAGAGGTGAGCTCTTTTCCTCCTAAAGCTTTGCGCACACTCCCCTTGTGCCTTTTGTACCACCCAGCTGTGATGCAGAACGTAAGGTGTGCTGGGCAAAAGGGAGTGCCTCCTGCCATCCTCACAACATGCCTGGGTAACTTTTCCAGCTGATATGAGCTGGTGTACCTGGAGTCATTAAACCCAGCTGAGCATCCAACTCACATTCTTGTTCCTCTCTCAATGGCCACTGGACACATCTGTGTCCAAAGCAATGTTTTTTCACGCCACAGTAAGGACAGTCCTGCCCTACAGTAGCCTTAAACTCATCCTGTAACTTCTGAAAATCACACTGGCTTGTGACTTGTCCCCTCTGGCCTTGCTAACATCTTTCCCTCTTCGGGAGGATGGGCACCACAAAAGCTTGGGGACTTATGTTCCCTGGTATAGTGTCTGTTTGCAATACACCCGCCTGATGTGGCTGAAAGAAGGCACTGGTGGAGGTGCAAAATCCAGCACTTAGTCTCTGCTGGATTTTAACCACATGGCTATTTGCCTGGTGTGCTCAGAGATTGCATAAACAGCCAGAAGTACACTCACACAGTGCCTGTGTCCCAGACCAGGACTCTGTGAGCTAAGCCACCCTCTCAGAGTGTAAAGCATTTCTGTAGCCCTGTGTGCTTGTCCCTGCTCCCCGTAACACTGCTGTCCCTTCTGCCAGGACCCCACAGCCTGCCGCCAGTGGAGGACGATTGAAGCTATCCGTCATGTGGGCGTAGCAATTGTCTCGAGTGCTGTCACCACCGTGATTGCCACTGTCCCGCTCTTCTTCTGCATCATTGCCCCTTTCGCCAAGTTTGGGAAGATTGTGGCTCTCAACACGGGAGTTTCCATTCTATACACGCTGACTGTGAGCACAGCCCTGCTGAGCATCATGGGGCCTGGCACCTTCACCCGGAGCAGGACTTCCTGCCTCAAGGCTGTGGCAGGAGTGCTTCTCGCCGGCCTGCTGGGTCTATGCATCTGCCTTGCCCTGCTAAAGGGTGGATTTAAGATCCCTCTCCCTAATGGGACAGCCCTGTAGACCCTACACCAAGAGCCACACGATCTGTCCTCTTGCTCCCTTTTCTTTTTTTCTTTCTTTTTTTTTTTTTAAAGGATATTTTTTGTAAGAAAAAAAAAGAGGAAAAAAAATCCCGTTTTTTCCAGAAGTTTTTCAACTCCAGATGCACTTTATTTTCTAATGGGTTTTGCTCTAAACTTGTATTTATTTCAGAAGTGATGGATGGATGACGGACAGTGAGGGCTGCCCAGGGAATTCCTCAGCCCATGAGTAGGAGGGGAGAAGGTGCCCTTCTCTCAATTTTCTTTCTGCTTTTCTTTTTTTAAATGAACAGATCTTTCTGGAACCACATAGGTAAAGAAATCAGGTAGGCCGTCTGATCCCTTTCAAACTGCTTCCTTTCTGTCCTTGCTATGGCCAGGGTCAGCATTGTGACGATGGCTCTAGAGGTGATGTCATGTCCCCATACCAGGGCTGTGCGTCAACTCCTGAGCCTTGCAAACTGCAGTGAGCTGGACAGGCCTGGGGAATAGCATTGCTCTGCTATGCCCTGTGCTCAGCAGCAAACTCATTGCACAGGATGCATTTCCCAGCTAGCTCTTACTGGGGTGGTTGTGAGATTAAGAAGAGAGATTTTGGGGCAGCACCACCTGCTGGGACCTGCTTTCATTGTTAGCGGGGAATGGCAGGACATGTGGCTCTTTCTTTCATAAAGGATGCTGGATCTCTCACTGGGATCCCTTGTGTCTCTGAACAGTCATCAGAACACTATTGGTGCCTACAGGGCCCTCTCCTCCTCTCCTTCTTGCCAAGGTAGCAGTGGTGTCCAGTCCCAGCTCCTGCTCTGTTTGTGACTTCACCAATCTACCTCTGCTCTTCATGGCAGAGAGAGAAGTGAAGGCCTTCAGCTCTGTACAAAGACTTTTGCTCCAGGACCTGGCATCCAGCACTTAGCCTGAGGATAAGCTAACCCCTGTAGCAAGGTAGAGCCCATAGCTGGCAGCATGCATGGATAAACAGTGGGGCATTCTCTGTGGCAGCTCAGAGACCCTGCTGTGCAGACATGAAGGCAGCAGAGCTTCAGCCTGAGGCTGCTGCCTGCTCAAAGCAGATGGTTTATATTAAAGTAAAATGAAATTGCAAACTGGTGCCATTAACAAGTACATTTTAAGCATCACTGATTCCATCATATTCTTAAAATTGAAATAACTAAGTGTGTGCATTGATATGCAGCACATCTGGTCCTTGGCAGAAGGGGAGGGGTCAGGCCCACTGGGAGATGCATTAAACATTATTTACAGGGATGCCAACAGAAAGAGGTGGCTGGAAAGCAGCCCGACTCCTCATTTGTTTGCAGATACCATGTCCCCGGTGGCTTTGCATTCTCTGTCTGGATTGACCCCCTTTTTAAAATGGAAATGCCAGGAAGCTGGTCCCTGGTGCCAGCCACGTTCTGGGGACTGTGCTGCTGAGACAGACCAGCAGCTGCTGCTGCTTGGTTCACTATATCCCTGGTTTCATCCCTGCCAGTCTCTTACATCTTCACACCGTGTTGTTCCTTTGAAACAGGATCAAACATTTGTTCCTAAACTAGGTTCCCCAAGGCATCAGCTGGAAAGAAGGGTTTGAGGACAGGGGTCTCCTTGGGCTTTGTTGATGCCAGGAGAAATCTAGAGCAGTCCATGAGGGTGGTGAAAGGATGAGCAAACCGAACCCGGTTTCTTCCTCACCATCCCATGGCACAGCTGAGTTACCCTTTTCTGCAGGATTAACTGTTCCTTGACCCCTGTCTCTGCTCTGCCCAGCTCCTATAGGATGAACCCTGATGAATAAATGGTTCTGGGAAGGATTTTTAACTTTCTTAAACCTGTGCTTCTTTGAGAGCTGCTGTGCAAGGCTCAGCCACGCTGATCTGCAAGCCCTTCTTTCCCTGATGTCTGATCTCCAGATTTAATTACTAGTGGTGCCCTGAGCACTTGTAAATGGCAGCAAGCACAGAGGGCAGCGTGCTGATGACATACAGCGATCTACATGGGGGTTGTGGGGGCAGAGTGTGGGAGCCCTGGTGCTACTGCCAAGGATGCTCTGACTGGCAGCTTGACCCATACTCACCTATTGCTTCAACCTTTCTTGGAGTGATTAAAGCTGATGGTTATTTCCAGGTCACCAGACAAGAGAGGAAGGTGCTGAGTTAAGCCTTTCAGCATGTCCCTCCTGTGAGCACGGAGAAGCACTGAAAGATCTTTAAGGCAAGGCAGAGATCTGCTTTAATCCTGCAAAACTTAAAGTGCATTCATGCCCCAGGTATCCCACAGTTTTACTCACTATAAAGAGGCTAATATAAGCCCCTCACTTCCAGAGTGATGCTGGGCACACCATGCTGGGACCAGTCCCTCAGCCATTCTCAGAAAGCAAAGATTATTTTCAAAGTAGTGGAAAACCTTTTGTGCCTCTGGGTTCTGATTTAGCAGTGTCTGATCTTAGACAAAAATAACAGCATTCTTAGCAGCCAAAAGGTTCTGTCCCATTTTCTGGAGCAGGAAGGGGGAAGGACAAACTGCCAATCCTCCTCATCCTCCCTGGCTAGTTAGAGCAGTAGGGCAGGCTGATATGAACAGGAGCATCACCTTGTCCTTGTTTGCCCAAGGTGGCTCTGGGAACACACTAGCAAAGGAATGGCTGGAGTGATTCAGGAAGGAAAAGAGAAGACTGAGTTAAGTATATGATTAAGCTGATGACTTGCAAAGGCATACTGAGGAGATGGTGTCCCTCCAGCAGGAAGCTAAGGCAGAGTTAGGATTTGGAACTCACTCCAAGTTGTAGTAGAAGAGCCAGGAGATGATCCCAGATTATGCTTTCCAGTGCAAGGACTCACTGGACATTGATAAGCTGAAAATTTGATGGTCACAACACTTGGGTTTTAGATCTAGAATCACAGAATATCCCATAGACCGTTGCAGAGTGAAGGAGACACAAAGTGGAGCCCAGCCTTCCCCAGCATACTTGCAACACTGTCTCGGTGGAGACAGTAAATCAGTGGCAGATGCATACATCCATCTCCCTGGCATTAGAAAATATTCATAAAATTATAGGGGTAAGAAAATGGATGGGTTTATCTGAGCAAGCATGAAGGTGGGGCTGACAGCCCTGCTGGGAATCCGTGCTCTGAGGCAGATGCTTGTAGCAATAAAAAGCAAAGGCTCACCTGTCTAGTGCCGTTCCAGGAGCAGATGCTTGCCCTAAATTAATTCCTCCCACATCTCTACCCATCTTCTTTCTCTGATGACTCCTCTGTTGCCCAGAGCATCTCTTGGGCCTTGTCGCCTTGCTGTGCAAGGTTCCGCCTTCTCAGTGGTACCTCCTTTGCCTAAGATGCTTTCAGATGCTCAACTAAGGCATGCTGGAGACTTTCTCAGAGAGAATTTCTCAGGCAGAGGAAGCCAAGGTGCTAAAATTCTTCATATAAAGCTGCCAGTTTCAGTGTTTTTAAATAGTTGAACACAGCAGCCCATTGTCATGGAAATATTTCATCCTGGCTTTACTTGGAAGAGAACGCACTGTTTTTCCATTTCAAAACAATCTTATTGCTGCAATTAAAAAGAAACATAGACAGGTTCTCAGTTACAGCACACTGCAATGAAATATTTGTTATCTGCCCACTCCTTTTTTTTTTTTTTTTTTTTTGTAAATTCTGTTTTGAAGGATACCTTCTGAGAAGTTAATGTTTCAGGATGGAAACTGTGTAGTTTCCTATAAAACAGAGCTGATCCTGTCCTGACAAGAAGCCCTCAGCAGTCACAGAAGGGCATTGATCCCAGTTCGCTAAAGCAGAGATATGTACAGAGCTGCTGCTCCTTGCCTTTAGAATTGCTGCTGCTTGAGTTCAAGGTTCCCCACAGACACTGGTGAGAGTAGGACTCACAACAGCTTTGGAGCAAAGAGGAACAGAGCTGATGTGCTTTGCAAAGATCAGTGTCAGAGGAAGAAATAGATCCAGGTCTCCTCACTCCATTTCTTTGCTTTTGTTGCAGTGGCTCTTGAGGTGCTGGGTTCATGCAGGACCTGTACAGGCAATGGGGACATCAGGGTTGGCCACCAATCTTGGCAGTTTCAAAGGCTGCAGATACTGGAAAGGGATCAGTGACTGCGCTGGGCTGTGATCTCTGTCCCAAGCAAAGCCAGCCTGGAAATTATCCCCAAGGAGATGGATATATGGCATGCTTACAGAGCTGTTCGCACACTGTTTTGGCAATCTGGCTGCAGGGGTCTCCTGAGACTCCTGATTTTGTCTCCACTGGAACACACTGGGATGTTGCTTTTATGTCACAGCACCTCATTTTGGCTTGTGCTGCACTGAATTTTCTTACCAGAGTGGCTTGCCCTCTTGGAAAATTATAAAAGGCCTGTTTAAATGCAAAATACACATGAATGTGTGCACACTGTCCAGCAGGAAAACTGCGTTGATTGATTTGCAGCTATGCAGGGCAAGTCTCTTAGTAATTACCAAAATCACTCCTCACCCCGGATAGCATGCAAGTCACAGCTCACAGGTTATCCTGTTTCAAAGCCCTTTGCTAACTCCTCTTCCTCAGCTTCACACCCAGGTCCTGGAGTTGGAAACTCTCACAGCATCCGTTCATCAGAATGGAGGTGTGGGATGTGTCCTCCCCCCGCTCCTCCTTGGGGACAGCAGGGGGGGGTGATAGGAGGACTGGAGGCAGAGCAGCAGGCAGGAAGGTTTGCAGGGAAGAGAGCAAAGAAGAGGGATGATGGGGGGAGAGGGGGCACGAGCACCTCGAGGTGCTGCCGCTTCGCCACGTGCCTGCAGACCTGCATCGGTTCTCAGAGTGATGTAGCACAATTCGCAATGTAACGTATGCGTGTTACTTTTTGTAAGTCGTCTCCTACTCTCACTATTTTCAATGTTCCTTGATTTTTGGAGACTGTTGTAAATAAAAGATTTTGACACTGGCTCGTTTGGCTCCCTCACTCCGCACCATGTTACAGGTCAGGCAAGCCAATGCTCCAGCTCCACACAGGGCTGGAGGAGGACTGGCTCAGGTGAGGGCTTCATCCATGTTTTCTGGGGCTCTTTTTCTCCTCTAATCCATGCCAGCACATGGAGCTGTTTCCCCCGGGAGAATGGGATTCAGCAGCTCCTGTAGCACTGCAGTTCCCCAGTGCCTGGCATGGACTGTGAGGGGTCTAGAGCACAGTCCTATGGGGATGGTCAGTCTGGAGGAGGCTCAGGAGAGACCTCAACACTAAAACTCCGGAAAAGATGTGGTGAAGTGCAGTCGGTCTCCACTCCCAGCGATAGGTCCAGAGCTAATGGCTCCAAGTTGCACTAGGGAGGAGGTTCAGGTTCAGGACAGTAGGAACAATTCGTTCTCAGAAAGAATGGTGGTGCAGCAGAGCAGGCTGCTCAGGAAGGTGGTGAGCTCACCGTCCCTGGTCGTGCTGTAGCGCTTAGAGACGTGCTACTGAGGGGCGGCCGTTACTCCCCTCAGAGGGCGGGAAAAGCGCGGGCGCAGCGCTGAGGGGAGGCGGGGCGGGACTGAGGCGGCTCCGCTCCCGCCTGACGCGGCTGGCGACGCTCGGCCCTTCCCCAGCGTTTTGTCACAAGAGCGTCTCTGTGGCGTCAGCAGAGCTGCGGCCCGCGGTGCTCCTCTGTGTATTCAGTTTTGATCTGCTTCCCCTCAAGTCCTGAGCGTGAGGTGAGGCAGTGCCAGGCTCCCGTTTGTTGCAGGAGGTGAAGCGAACCCGGAGCAGCAGGTGTGCTGTATATTGTGTTTCTAAGAGCTGGCCCACCCTGTTTCTTATGTATATTTTTTTCCCCTCAAGTCAGAGCAAACGTTGCCCCAAGAGCTCAGCATGAAAGCACGCCTCATAGCACTGCATGCAGCAAGGAAATGAAAGGCCAGAGGGCTTGGCAGCCCCTCTGTAGGCTTTTTGGGAGGAGAAAAGCAAAATCTTAGGGTTGGGTTGGAGAAGGCTGCCAAAGGTTTGGGTTTCAAACCCAAATCTGAAGCACAGAAGCCCCTCTGCGAGGTGGAGGTGTGTGCGCTGGATGTGGATGGAAACTGCACCATGAACAGCTGCTCACAATGGGATGGGTTAAACTACAAATGGTTTGGGCAGACATTGGAAATGGCCTCTGCCTTCTATGTGAAAGGCTCTGATTCTGAAAGATGTGGTCATGAAGTAACAATAAGGGCTGCTAAGTGGTAAAGAAGGCCTGGGAGGAGGTACGGGTACCACCACATCTGTGATTTTCAGTAGCCAAGAGGGGATATAGTGGTTGTGAAGGTTGTGGTGCCTGTAATGGCCCTATAGCACATGGGCAGGGAGCTGAGTCAAATCCTCTTCTACACCTGTCTGGCAGCCTCAAAGCACCCAGAGTAGAAGTAGATGTGAGAGCATCCCATCGCAGCAGGGGTGAGCTGAAAACTGGTGCTGAGCATCATGGCTCAGTTCTTTTTTGCAGAAGGGCAGCTCTCACTGCTCAATTTTAACACTTGTTAGCTCGTGTTCAGTGTTAGATTCCTGTTAGCTACAGGTGTGGGTGCTGATAACCACCAAAGAGCTCTGTGGCTTTGCCAGAGCACTGCAGGTGGTGGCTGGTAGGTGATTAATAAGTTTCCTCCACACCCCAACAAGGTGGCAAGGGGCTATTTGCCTGACCCTGGGAAGTGCAGAAGAGGTGAGCTTTCAAAGCAGCTGTGTGAAAGTGTTCTTTCTTAAACTTGAAATGACCCTTTCAACTGAATCTCTTAGTGCTGAGTGAGAAGTACAGGGGGACTGCAAGGGAATGTTCTATGTCTTGCTTTAGGACTTTTAAGCATTTCTAGCTGGTGGCTTATATCCCACTGATTTTCCTGGGACTGTGCCACAGTGGATGTGAAGAGGCAGTGAGGATATGGGTCCTTCCTTGTGAACCTACTCCCAACCTATTGGCTGAGTCCTGGGAGCCTTTCCCAGTGTGACATGGCCTGGGCTTCCCTTGAGCTATTTGCAGACCAATAAAGGAAAATGAAGAAAAATCCAGGTAAGTGATAAAGCAGCGTACAAGATAATGCCTGAGCCTGGACCCAAGTTTGTTGTCTGCATTAAGCACATCTTGTACAAAATGTTCCATGCTATGGGATTGATGAAATTCTTTGAGTGCCCCTTGTTGGTGTACAGGAGTATAGTGAGTTCACTGCTGCTCTGCTTTGCTTCAAGGAGTTTGTTTGATGGTCAATACAGCCTTGTCATGAGAGGGTGAGAAGCTGTGGTTCATCTCCCTGAGTGTCATCTGGGTTTGTGGTAATCTCCTGAACATGATGCAGCCTGAGTCTGCCGAAGGATCTGCTGCCTGTGGGTTTTTATTTCCAGCTCTTGATTTGCAGAGTGAAAAGTTCCTGGCCAGATAAAGTCCTTACTAAGCTGCAAGGCTGTACAGGAGAAGGTAATGATATGGTGGTGCTTTTATCATGTTTTGTGCCTTTACCTACTTCTACCTTTAGGTCCTAGGATGGGGTGACACTGTGCTGCTGCAGTTGAAATAGAGGTCTGATCAAGCAGTGTGAAAATAGCAGTGGCTTTTTCTCTTCTGTAGGTGTTATTAAGCTAGCTCTGATACTACTGATGGACCACAGTGCTCCCTCTGTATGCTCTATGGGTGCTCCTGAGGACAGTTTGTCAGGCTGGCTGCAGAGATTGGAGGGCTGGTGATTTTTATTTCTTTTTTTTTTTAATCCTTGCAGCCTTCCTGAAGGATTTAGTTCCTCAGAGTCAGAGGTGTAAATGTACAGGAGGCCTGTCCCTGCTTCTAGCATTCATGTACCTCTCAAAGGAGTTGTTACAGAGGAGTTGAAGGGTATACTCAGGCTATTGTGAGTGCTTCCGATGACAGTGATGATAAATTATGGTATCTTGCCAGTGCTTTGTCTGTACATCTTTAAGCTTTTTTTTTTTTCTGCCTCAGAAATGGAAGTGACATCTGTGTCTAACGTGTCGAGGCTGTGACCTCAGTGAAATCCCCTGATGGCTGCTGCCACAATGTACTCTGCATCACCTAAAGCTGCTCTGCAAAGACACTGTCTTTGCTGTACCAGATGTCATGCAGCCAGAGCAAGGGCACCATGTGAGCAGGCAGCCTGCCTCTGTCTGGGGATTCTGGAAGGCTGCTGGCTCTTTGGGGTATAGGTTAGGCTGGCTGCAGTTGAGCTTGCATGGCAAGAGAAAGCATGCTCTGAGCTGCCCCGATGTGTGCTTGGGAATCTGGCGTGGTGATAGGTCATCTCTGGCCCCCCGGTATGCTGTTACCAACTACCAGCTTCAATGGCCTTTGCTTTTTTGGAGCTTTAAAGCTGATTGTGCAGCGGATAATAAACTAAAGATAGGAGCATGCCTCCAACTCTGGAAAGCATGGCAGGCACAAGATCAAAGACCTAGCTAAGCATTTCATTCTGTTCTACCCAAGGTTACCATCGTAAGTTCCTGGAAAAGTCTGCCAGTGCTGTCTGGAAAGCTTTCTCTCTGCTGTCTGATCATCTGAGGCTGTTTCTGATAAAGGTGACTGCAGAAAAGCAGATACAGCTCCTTCCAGATGCACGGAGACACTTAAGTTCCTCCTTCAGCACTGACCTCATTCCTGTTGGGCTGAGAGCAGCTGGCTCGGTACCAAATGCTTCCTGCCCACGCAGCTGCTGGCTTTCTGGCACTCTGTGGTCGATTGCCGTGCCCTGGCAGTGGGGCTGTTGGGTTGTGGGGAAATGCATGATGGAGCTGCAGCTGAGCTGGTAGGGCCATTGCAATGGGATCGGTGCCCGGAGCTGGGCGTGCAGCAGTGGGCTGGGGCTGCTCAAGGGACCCAGCCAGAGAGGGCTGCTGGTGACTAGCCACTAACCTTGTGCATGCTCAGTGGCCTGCAGTCCCATTTATTAGCACTTAAAACTTGCTGTCTCTGCCCCAAATGGAGTGTTTACAGCATTGACACAAACAGCTGTCCCAGTCAGCTAGATCATAACAAATGGGAGCTTTGGCTGGAGTGTTATTTTGCTGCAAGGGGGTAATACATCTTGTTACTAAACAATGAAGTTCGTGATGGATGGTGACGAGGCTCTTTGCTGTCTTGCTTGATGATCGCACTGAAAAATAAACATAAAACCTAAGATGTTCCCAGGGATCTAGGCAAGGCTTTGCATTGTGTTTTGTTAGAGACAGCTTTGAGGTTCCCTGGTGCCTCAGTTGCAAGAGCCTTTGCAGTAGGTTGCTGGTTTTGCTGCCTTCTCTCCGCAGTGGATTAGCTGGGAGGGATTTGGGGGTCAAGGAGTGAAATTCTAGGAGAGAGAAGGATGTGCTTGTCAAAAACATGGTGTGTAGCAAGAGCTGAGGATAGTTGGTCACTTCCCTGGGAATAATACAGAGGTCTTGTTCGTGGTTATGCTGTCTGATTACCGGGCATATGAGTCAAACTGTGTCATTTTGATCCAGCCTGAAGTAGGGCTGCATTGCTGCTGGACTGAGGGTGGAAATGCCTCCGTGTCCTCCAGAGAGCTGTGGAGGTGTATGGGAACTGCTGAGTCACAGCCTGAACCACTGACTGAGTACCTGGGGAAAGGACTGGGTCAGACCTGGCAGCACAGGTGAAGGCAATTCAGCTGTGTGACCGGAAGGAGTGGAGCCTGGCTGCACCTCTCTTAGACCTCATTTAAGGGCTGACTGCCACTGGGGAAGGATCTCTTTCTGGAGATCCCACCTTGGTGGAGCTTTTCTCTGCAAACCTGGGATCTTCTGATATGGGTAAGCAATCTTCTTCCCTTACAGCACCTTTCCATTGTGTCAATCCTTCCTTTGTTTCATCTGTGGTGAAACACCTTTTCCCGTATTGATCTGTCCAGTTGCTACAGGAGGTAATTATGGTTATGTAGGGTGACAGGGTCCTCCTGAAGGCCGTGCGTGTGATTCTGCTGCTTCAAGTGACTTGTGTGGAAGGCTGTAAGCCATAGCTTCTCTGGGCAGGGAGCTGGAACAGGTTAAATGCTCACTTAATGCCAGTGCAAAATTGAACAAATGCTGTTTTAATGCTGAGCTATTCTGATTGCCTGCCCTCCTCTGCTTCTAAGTACCTACAGCAGCAAAGCTCAAGACTGTGCAGGTGGGTTATCTACAACTTGGACTCATTGCAGAGATACTGATGGGCTCTTGGACTGAGCTCTACAGGAGCTGCAGAGGAGTATTAGCTGCCTGGAAACTGTGCGTATGACTCACAGGTCTCCTACGCACACTTTCACCCACATGCCCTTCCCTTCATGCTGTTTCCAAGCACGAGGACTGCTGGATTTTCTGCTCTCCTCCACCCCAACTGTGTTTTCTTTTTTTAAAAAAAGCTGTGAAATGATTGGAACAGGTGGTGCTGTGATTTCCCAACAGTGTAAATAAATATATTCAGGCCACAAATGGGGCAAGCAAAACAGATCAGTTGGAGCTGCTTGCTTCCTCTTCTGGGGCTCTATAAGCAGAGGTGCAGGGTATGAGATGAAGCACAATGGGCCTGACAGCAATGGAGACTGGCATGGAGTATGTGAGTGACACTGGTTGTGTCTGGAAGCCAATTAAAGCTTATTTAAAATATTAGCATATCAGCAGGCAGGAATTCTTCCGACTGGATTGGTTTCACTAGGGGATCAGGGAATATGGCCAGTGTTCAGCTGGCAATCATTCTTTTCAACACGATTGCATTCATCACCTGACCTGCCAGGGCACTGCTGGAGGAGGCTGTGTCACTGCGAAGGGTATTCCTAGCACTGCACCCCTGCTGCAGCAGCTGCACCAGTGAATGGCAGTTCAGGGATGAGTTCCCACTTGGGAGCCATGAAAGCAAACAACGAAGCAGCTCTGGTTTTGTGCCAATGTGTTTGTGGACTGGATGAAGGAGGGAGAAAGCTTTAAAAAAAAAATAATCCCTGCTTTTCCCTGTCAAGTTCTCCCCGGTATATATTTATATTTAGTGTCTATTTAGCAGTGAAGAGGGGAGGGCTGTCTGGGAGAGTAGTTTGCTGGGAGAAAGTGGGTTTGTAATCCAGACAGATTCAAAGGCAGCCTTAAATAGAGCATTAATGGACTGAGGGGTTGAAGATTGCAGTCTTCTATTTTGGTGAAAATGGAGCTTTCTGTGTGTGCCGTTTGCTGCTCACGTGCAGGGATTGTTGGTCAATGCGTGGAGGAGCTGTTACTTGTGTATTTGCCTGCAGTGCACAAGCATGTCTGAGAATCTTCCTGTCATTTTGGTACTTTGGGGGCAAGTCCTATTAAAAATTGGAAAAAGAGGGAGCAGAGCTTACTGCATGCCTCATGTATGTGTCAAGATAAAACAAGCAGCACTGTGGTTGGTTTGGGGGCAAAAAGCAGTCAGACCCTGTGCTGTGATCTGGAAGGTAGCTTGTGGTTTTTCCTTTGTCACTGAGTGGGGATTTGGGCTCTGAAGCATTGCTAAGCAGTGCCTGTCCCCGCTGCCTGCTTGTCTCCTGGGCTGGATAGGCTGAGGTCTTGGTCCTTCATTTGTGTAGCATCTTTTTCACTTCAAATTGTACCAGCAGTTGGAGAGTTGAATGTTGAAAGATTTGCTAAATATCAAACAGCCAAAATCACTGCGCTCTTCTTTTCTTTCTGTCAAGATCATGGTGCGCTTGGACACTTTCCTGACTGCTCACTGCAGGTGCATACTGGTGCTGGGAACCCCACCTGCAATAGATCAGTGCCCAGTGGCTCTGCAAGAGCAGGCTTTGGTTATCCCTGGTGTATTTGCTCCATGGGCAAGCAAGCCATGAGCTCTTCATACTTGTATTTTTGTTGATAGATATCAATATTGGAAAATCACGTTATGTTGCCTGGTTACTGTGAGGTGAAGTAGCATGATCTTGGTTTCTGGGGGTGGCTGCAGAGGGGTGTGCTAGCAGTTTCCATGGTGTAGGAGGGAAATTCAAGACCTGGAGCACTGCATGAGAGGTCAAGGCTACAGATCCAAGTAAACTGGAAACCAAATTAGGAATTAGCTGACTAGATACAGCTTCTGTGGACCTAGATGGCAATCTGATTTGTGCATACCCACACTAGCAGTACTGGAGTTGAGAGGAAAAGCTGGCCTCTAATAACTCCACATCAGCAAAGAAATCATAGTGTTCTCCCCAGACAGAGACACTGACAATCGTTTCCTGCTGATGCTTTGGCCAGCGAGTCTGTCACTCAAATATCTGCTGAGGGGATGAGTCTGTGCCTGCCAGAGTCCTCACCAAGGAGGAACAGGGAAGATGGGGAGGTGACCCGAACTGATGTTTGTTGCTGCGCTCTGAGGAATTTCACCTCAGAAAAATGCAAATGGACTTGGAACCAATTTTGTTCAAGAACGTGAACAAGCACTCAGAGGGCCCTTTTTTCCCCTCTTACCGTGACTTTTCCTTCTCTAATTACTGGGATGTATGTGTAAACCCTCATGCTGAAGTGTTGTTCACAGGAGTGAGTTTACTCATTTTACTCTTTCTTGGCATAAGAAGCATTGTATTAAGCAGGTTTTAATGTTTTCTCACCAAGGGATGTGGATTATAAAGCTTTAGAAATAACTTGCATCTGGAAAAGCCAATTAATAAAACAAAAATTCTGATGTCACTTTCTCATAAATTAACAATTTATAGATAATTTACTGTGCTCGTGTCATTAGGCAAATGGACTTTAAATTGATTTCAAATTAGTGGGTTAATGATTTCCTGCAGGTAGTGTTACCATGGGCAGCATTCGTAGTGGCTTTTCAGTAGAGGGGTAGGTGTGGAAGAAAACCACTGCCTTAGTAATTGAGGCAATAATTGGAGTGGTGGTCACATTCAAATGCAGTATTGATCTGCAAAAAAGTGCTGACTTTCTCCATCACTGTGGCAAAGAGGGGGTGGGAAAGGATTCTGGGAAAGACTGCAGACTTCGCACATTTCTTGTATAATAACTTTTTTTGGTACATATTAACTCCAGCTGGTGCACTGAGGTAGCCAATTGATATGGTATTGTTGAATAACCTTGTTTATAGGATGGGAATAATTATGCAGCTGAGTTCTAATTATAGCTGTGAGGGAACAACGTGTGCCCAAATTGATTAAAAATAGGGTGATGATTACATAGCTTCTGTGCTGTTGAGTCTGAGGCCTACCCAAAACAGAGACCAGCTCAAGTGTTGTCACTTCTCCAGTGTTAGCTTCCAGCCTTGTGTGGTTTTCCCCTTGTTTTTTTTTTTTCCATTTTGATCTGTCTGCAAATGTTGTACATGCTTTGGGGGATAGGCTGACTGGCTCAAGTATACCATAGAATGGCTTTTGATTGGAGGGGATCTTTAAAGACCGTCTATTTCCAGCCTGCTCCCCTGGGCTGGTTACCTCCCACCAGATCCCAGGGCCCATTCAACCTGGCTATGAATGCCTCCAGGGATGGGGCACCTACAGACTTCTCTGGCAGCAGTACCAGTGCCTCACCATCCTTTGAGTATAACATTTCTTCCTAACATCTAATCTAGATCTTCCCTCTTCTAGTTTAAAACCATTTCCTCTTGTCCTATCAACACAGGGAGCTACAGTTGGTGTCCTAGTGGGAGGTAAGCCATTTATATCTCATCTTGTTTGACCATTAGTTGCCAGAAGCTACAGGCTCCTTCCTTGTCACTCTAGGAGCAGCTCTAGTGGCGTGTTTAGCAGCCTTTCGGTGTATGAAGGGGGGCTGTAAGACAGAAGGGAACAGACTCTTTAGCAGGAGCTGTTGTGATAGGGCAAGGAGAAATGGTTTTAAAAACTAAATGAGGGGAGATTCAGACTGGATAGGAGGAAGAAACTTTTTATAATGAGTGCTGAGGCACTGCACAGACTGCCCAGAGAGGTGGTGCAGACACCCAAGGTCGGGGAATGGGGCTCTGAGCACTGATGGAGCTGTGGGTGTCCCTGCTCCGTGCAGGGGCTGGACCTGATGGCCTTTAGGGTCCCTGCTAACTTCAACCATTCTGTGATTTCTATAGGCCTATGCCAGCATTAATAAATTGATGAGACACAAGAAGCTCAGATAATCACCTTAATACTGGAGGCATAAAAAATACTAATGAATTCCTCCTCTGGGAGATGAAGACTTATTGTCCCAACCCTGTGGCTGAAGCAGGGAAAGATGCCTGCACAAGGTCATGAGATGAAATGTTAGCACAGCGAGGAAGGGCACTTCTCTCCTGTTGATGTAGTGCTGCCTTCTGTGAGCCCTGCTTCACACGGGTGTGTTCCACAGTGTGATGCGCGACAGCTCTGCACGATGACTGTGGTCTAAATTGGCAACATTCTGAGCAGTGCTATGGGCACTGTTACTCACTGCCACGCATGGGGAGGCTGAGTGCTGTGGAGGATTACATTTTGAGCACGACGGACAGTAACTCATGAATTAAATGGCTGTGGAAATGGATTTTGTTGGCAGTACATATTTGTGGAGTGCAGTGTCTCTGTGGCTGGCTGTTTACACAAACTCTATTGCTTCCAAGCTTTGTATTACAAAATTAAATTCCTCCTGCATTAAAAATTTATGTTGGATGAAAAGATCAGTGTATTGAAACTTGGTGAGAAC